TAGCTTTGAGTTGCTATTACTGCCAAGATGTTTATACCATTTCTTTTTTATAATTCAGTGCCATGTATTTCTTAAACATTAATTTCTCCATTCATATGTATCATCATTTTTAATAAATATTCTGGGTATCTTGAGCCATGCTTTTGCTTTTAAGCACCTTTTCAGCACAGATTGGACTGTTTGCATTTGGCCCCCCAGATCTTCCATCCAACTGTCTAAATTATTTTAACTGACATAGTTTCTAATTTACTCTCTCCAGTTGAGAGAGCTTCCTGTAGCTTGTCTATTTCAGCATTTAATTGCTCCATACTTCCACAAATTAGATTCTGTACTGATCCATTTTGCTCTACTGGTGAAGCAAAGATCTCTTCAGCATAGCCTAGGTAATATGGGACTTGTGATGTAGCTGAAAAGACCATCCTCCCCCCCCCCCCGATACTTTGGGGCTTCATTTGCTTTGTACTAACTGAAAAAAACTAGACCAATATTTTTCTGTGGTGGCAGCCAAATCAGTTACTAGTATTGCTTCATTGTCTGTTATGATCCCTTTTCCCTTGAGATGAAATACGGAAAGAAAATCCGGGGATCTGATGGAAAAGTTTAAAGAAATGGATGTGTTATTTAACTGAAATGCATTAAAAAGCAGTCTTTCCATTAATACTCTAATACTGTATACTGAATATTTTCTCCTGTTCAGACATTGCCATTATCATGCTTTTTGTATAAATTTGAACAGGATTTAAATCAGCAAGAAATATTTACCTCCTCTTCAAATTATTTTGAAGCCTAAATGGGGCTTGAATTTGAATTAAAAGTTTTCTATTGGAACTATAATCCCAAGAATTCTTTGCCAACAGTGCACCAAAAGGAATCCTTTTCCTTAAAACAGTCAGAGCATTTAACAAAATTGCCATTTTTGTCATTTGTTCTTCAGTTGAATTAACAATATGCCTATTGAAAGGTCCGATTCATTTTGGTTTGATAATCTATGGTTTATCAGATTGAGAATGTGTTCTTCTTACCCTTCCCTCTTTATGTATGCTCAGCTTTAGCAAAGATGTCATAATATTTTGTATCATAGTTTCCTGTGACGTTCAGATCAGAAGTATAGTTTAGCCACTGCTTAATAACAAAGGCCAAGATATGAGTCTGGTTTATATTATGTTTCATGGGGAATTATTGCAGGTAGGAGAGAAGAAAGGAAGGGACATATCTATATCTGTGCAACTTGATCCATGTTTTATCACCCATAGTTTGTTGGGATGAGATTGTTATGAATAACCAGGCCACTGTTCTGCATGCAATTTTTGTTCAGATGCTTATTCGTAGTTATCTAAAGTTATATCTCTAATGTTTGTTTATTTGGGAATCATACCAATAACATAAAGAGCCAGATTGGTGTAGTAGTTAAAATAGCAGAAACTGGGAGACCATGAGTTATAGTCCCAAAGCCAGCTTGGTGACCTAGGGCCAGGCACTTTCATTCAGCCTTGCCAGAAAACTGCAGACATATGAAGTAATGTTATATATCAGTGGTGGCGAACCTATGGCACAGGTGCCAGAGGCGGCACTCAGAACCTTCTCTGTGGGCACGTGCCGTTTCCCCAGTCCTAAGCCTTCAGCTGGGTTTTATAAAACCTTTTCGCTTTAGGCCTCTGCCGCCGTGTGCAAAAAAAAAAAAAAAAAAAAAGTTCAATGAGTCAATTTCAACTTCTCGCGGGGAAAAAAAGATCTCGCAAAGTTGGAATTGATTGATTAAACTTTTTAGTCCCACCCAGTCTGCCGTTACCACTGCAGCCACGCCCACCCAATTGGCCACACCCACTCATTTGACCACACCCACCCTGCACCCGACAATGCATAAGTGGGTTTGGGGTTGCAGTTTGGGCACTCGGTCTCTAAAAGGTTCACCATCACTGTTATATATGGTCCTCTACACTCACTGAAAAAAATGAAGGCCTTTATTTAATGAGGGAAGAGAATATTTTAGCAGGATCTGATTTTTTCTAACAAGGAGCTGAAAAATAATTTAAGGAAAATGTAATATTACCCAATACATTCTCAATCTGATAAACCATAGATTNTTGTGTTAAATAGTACTCTATGGCATTAATCTATGTACCACTTATATTTTCTATAACCTTCAACTGGGTGAAATGGTGCATTATAGGGCAACAGTTTTGGAAACAAGGTACCTGAAATGGGCTAACTTACAGAATGCATCCAAAATCTGGAACCCATGATTACCAAGATAATGAAATTTGAGAAAGAAATAGCTTTGACTCAGTGAAGCACTGGTTGTCCAGTAACAAAATATTAATAATAGTAAATGCCTATATAGCACTTAGATAAGTAAAAGCGGAAAAAACAAAAGATGTGCAGATGTCATCTGCTGAAGAGTTTCTGGCTTAAGATGACATCTACTTTCCTTCATCTTCCTCTAACAACTGCATATGTTTTCTTCATTTGCTTCCTCTTTGCCAGGCTTTAGTATGGTTTTGTGTTAGTCGTTTAACTCAAATTCTTCAAGACCATATCCATGTTATAAAACAGGTTTTTTTTTTCCTAGCCAGCATTTCAATTTTGACTGCTTTCCAAACCGCAGTAAAACTGAAAAATGATTTTAAGTTACAGCTTCTGAATATATTGCCCTCTGGTTTATCACATACGTTCTCAAATACAGGTAGTCCTTGGGTTATGACAGCAACTGAAACTGAAATCTCCATCGCTAAGGGGTGCAGAAGTAAAGTGGGACATCATGTGATTAATGACGGCAATCTCACAGTCCAGATTGCTATCCTAGCCTCAAGATATGTGGATTGTTAAGCCAGAGGAGGCAGGAGTCCCAGGCAAGGAAGCCGGCAAGTACTGTAGGAGGGTGAAGGGTGGCCACAGACAGGAATGCTGAAGTGTGGGTGGATATGCATGTGCCATGAGAAATGCTGCAGGCAAGCACTCCAGAGCATAAGTGAGTGCCATGGGTGTGTGTGTGTGTGTGTGTGTGTGTGTGTGTGTGTGTGTGAAATGGAGCATACTAAATGAGAAAGCAGCAGGTGTGGGATCAACTATGCTTGTGGGAAACTGCAGGAAATATTGGGAAAATTGTAATCCATGTGAGCGTGGTTTGGTGGAACATCGTAATCGCAAGCTAGGGACTTAACATGGGGACACTGCAACTTTACGGACCAGTCATAAATCACCACATTCAGTGTGGTTGTAACTTTGAACAATCACTAAACAAGAGGTAATAAATCAAAGACTACTTGTACACCCGTCATCTACCTCAAAAGTATATTATTATTAAGTCTTTTAGTTGCCAGAATGATCTCCAGTCCAGGGGCTAAACGACTACTGTATATGTGGTTGAAAATATGGACTAAATGTTACTATATTTCCTTGATAACATACAGTAGCTTGAGATGGATAAATAGAAGTGTTCTAAGTTTAGAAATCTCTTCATATTTTCTTTTGATACCTGCAGCTCTTCAGCTTGATAATCTGCTGAATGCAGACAAAAGTGATTGAAGAATCAGTCATTAAAAGAAGTTACATAAACTCTGTCATCTCTGAATTATACTATGTGAACAGGAGTTGATACATAATGTCTTTCAGCTCTTTTGGGTGAAATGACTTGATACAATGACTGATGTTAATCTATGCAATCTGTCAGCATTTGCACCAACTATCACTGAGATCATCTCTTTGCGGATATTTTGTCAGTCTCATTATCATTATACATCTGTGATAATATGAGGTCATTGTATTATCTGTTCAGTTGTTTAACTTTTTCTTCAAAGTTCTGTCTTATCCAGGGCAATATTCAAAGCTTTGTCCAAAGTTCACTTGATTGTCCCATCCTTTTTACGAAATTACCAAAACTTCCTCCACTGGATCTGATCTTAACTTCATGTGGTATTTAGTTGCAGATCCTCGTTCCACTCCATATATACACTAACGTGAACGTTGCTGAACATACCACCGCAAACTTGTTTCATGAAATAATACTTCCTGAGTTGTTTTCATATATTTTTTGTCTCAGTTACAACTTTCTTACTTTCAGTGTCCACAATATGCACTGATACAAGATACTTTTTAGGGGGGAGAATCTGGCAGACTTTGTCTATAACGTGTGAAGTCTGCTAAATTGAGACTCGTTGAACAGAGGGTATACTGTATGCTGTTGCTATGGTTATTATTTGCCCTGAATAAAATATACTAATTCAATTCACACATTCAAATAGTCTTTCCTAAAAGTGCTTGAGACTTCTGCCTAGTAAAATAAGTCCAAATATAATATGTCATCCCTGAAGGATATCTTGTTTTAAAAAAAAAACTAGCCTTATCTATCCGATTATGCATGCTAATATTATACAGAATTATTAGTGCATGTAGATCCCTTTTGAGTGAATTTCAAAAATACACTGAACACTTGAGAAGGATTTAAGTCTCTCAAAGGACATGCAAATAAACCTAGCTGAATCAAGTTAAACAGATGCAACTCACTAACAATGTGAGCCTCCTTTCCCTGGCTTTTGCTGTCAAAGAACAAGATGATGATCTGTAAAAACAAATGGGTGATCATGGAATTTAGTGCTCTCATGTTGTAATAAACTGCTTTGGTCTTGTCTTATGAAAATAGCTTGGTAGGACAGCTCTTACCAAGGCAACATGCATGATGGGAGATGTCCTGAAAACCAGTGAGCAAACATCTTTTTTTTAGCGCGTGTACATTTTGCATGTAAATCTGAATCAGTGTTCTATTAACAAATAATTACCTCATATTATATTTGGATAGAATTTTAGTCTAATTAAGTACAAGTTGAAAAACCACTGTCAAAGTGTCATCAGATCTAGATCTGATCAGGTATGAAAATTTCATGGAAAACAAAGGCAGGACATCCATTAACTAACTAACTAACTAACTAAACAAACAAACAAATAATCATATGTTTTATTTTGTAACTATAATGAGAGGGGTTTTTTTTTTCTTTAAGGAATCTCCTTCTGGACGCCGGAAAGCCCTTGCTACCAGCAATATCAACATGAAACAATATGCGAGCCCCATGCCGACACAGACAGATGTCAAGTTAAAGTTTAGGCCTTTGTCTAAGAAAGTTCTCTCAGCCACCCTGCAGTTCTCATTATCGTGTATTTTCCTAAGAGAAGGAAAGGCCACGTAAGTTTTGCAGGATATGTTCCTCTGTTGATCTTTTATATGCACCAGAGAGCCTTTCTTGAGCTTGCCAGCCCTCAGCTCCCTTGAACCACACCACCAAATTTCCCTTGCATGGTTGTTAAAAATCTGTGAAAAATATGATTTCAGGCAATTCAAAATGCATGCAAAATGCAAAATGCATGCAAATCACTGTGTAAATCCTGAATAAACATTAAAAAAAGACTCCCACAAAGCACTTCTCCCTTCCCAAGTAGATACTCCCAGACCTGCCTACCTGCTTACCTGTCTGTCTGTGTGACCTAGTCTGCTGCTACTCTTAGCCTCCCATGAAAGTGCTGAAGGTGGACCACATTCAGACTCACAGATCGTACAGAGGCTATTGTTTGTCATTCTAGTTTGTCTTCAGGGCAATGGGTGGAGGGCATGAGTTATGGGCAAGAAATTTCTGGTTTTGTATCCCCCTCAGGCATGGCCTTGAATGAACAATTATTTCAGTTTCACCATAGAGTCATAATAGGAGACAACAATATGAACCTAGAGCATTGGTAAAAATTAGAAAGATAATGCTGATAACACATACTATAAGAGGAAGTTCTATATCATTGCTAATTATTTTACATTATAATGTTTTATATAACTTGCTGCCCCAGCACAATACCTTTTTGAGGTTCCTTTCATTAGTAAAAATTATACCTTTTCTTTTCCCATAAGCCTTCATAGTCTTCCTTTCAAGATGCAGCTGTACGTCAAGGTTAGAATTAATTTGTTTTCTGGAAAGCGCTGAATCAAAATTCAGCAGAGAGAAGATCTATCAAGGGAAAATAGCCATTAGTTCAGATCTGTCAAGATGCTATAAATGAAGGGCATCTTGAAGCAACAAATTAATTTGATGTTGGTAGGAAGATGATATTATTATTATGTAGTAATAGTTGTTACACTATTTACATACAATTTGCCAGATAGATCTGATTGGATTTGGTTCTTTGGCTATCAGATCCTTTCTGAGAATCTAGGATAGCTAAGGATACCATCATAAATTATGCACCTTTATATGTAATGAAACTGTTTGTAATTGGTGAGTTGAAATTTTATCCATTCTACTTGTACGCAATTGCTTTTTCAGATATTTTGAAATGACACCAAGCACACCAACCTCTATGGTTTTCCATATTTGCTCTATTTGTATCATTATACAGTATTTCCCTACTTTTCCTGGTTATTTCTGAGTGATTCTTCCATCTCTAGCTACTGCAATTGCAATTATTCATACTTGGTTCTTTGTAACTACAAAGAAGTAACTACTGCTGGCTTCTTATGGGCTAAATGTTTATTGTTGTTATGCTTGCTCACACAGTCAGCCAGATGTTTAGACTGGATTTGGCATTTTTATTCACCTATCGAGTCTTCCTAAAGACCTGGATAGGCAGATGTTGTTCTTTAATGGTGTTAAAGATATCTATTATTACATACACAAAAATGTGAAATCACAGCTGTCAGTTCTTTAGCCCGTGTTGGCCTTCATACATATCAAGTTCTTCCTAGGAACCTAGGATGTTGTAATGTATCAGCGTATTATCCAACCATTATTATATTGTTATTATTATTATTAGAGATGAAGATATGCAGAGCCTGGCAAGTCTGATGAGTATGAAGCAAGCAGATATTGGAAATTTAGATGACTTTGAGGAAGATAATGAAGATGATGAAGAAAATAGAGTAAACCAGGAAGAAAAGGCTGCAAAAATTACAGGTTTGTTTCTTCCCTGAATATGTATGTCTTTGCTTGTAAACTTAATTTGAAAATTGTTATTCTTTTCGACCATTTTTCTTTTGAAAATAATGTAGATTTTTACTATTTGTATTAGGAGGAAACAATTTAATCTAAATCATGGATTGGTATCCATTTGTGAAGTAAGGAAGGATTCATGCTCCTTTTGGTTAACTTCAAAAGAGCCATAAACACTACATTCAGACAGACTTTATTTCTGTCACTGTTTCTCTCTTTTGATTCCATGGACTAAAGCAAAGTTACTCATGGTTTGAAGGAATAAGGTTTCTGTATATTTATTTTACTGTGTACTAAAGTCTTGCAGGAATATTGAAATATGGAATTGTATGGGAGATTTTACAGGTTTTCAAGACATTAGCCTTCATAATCCCCTTAGGTTCTACAGTTAACTAATGCAGGAAGAACTAAGCTATCTGGGCAGTAAATCTAAATTTAAGCTAATATTTTAAGTTCTTGAGCTGGATCAAAGAGTTATAATAGTTTTCCGTATCCTGAGAGCATAGCTAGATAACTTGGTTCTGCATAAGGAAGCAAACAGATAGAAAATCTGTCTTATCCAGCATAATGTTAATGTGAAGTAATAAAAAGGATGATAAGCTTGACAGCAGAAGATAGCTGACAACTTTATATGAGAACAGATTTGTCTTGTGTATGTGTTTTTGTGTGTGCGAGAGAGAGAAGGAAAAAGAGAGACAGACTTCAGCCTATAGTAGGCACAGCAATATTTTCCAGCTGAAGAGCATATAGAGCTCAGTACAGGAAAAATATTCATGAAAGAGAGGAAAAGAAATAAAATTTAAGTTTAATGAAGGAGTCACAGTCTATGCCTCTTCTTGGAAATTTTCCAGCAGCCTTCTTGGTTCAGCCTACATCCTTCTAAAGGACTTCCTGGATAACACACACTCTGAATTGGATCTGGACCACATAGTGTAATACTACTTTTTTAAAATGAAAATTGGAGTAGCCTCTAATTAATACTAAGCTCTACTATAATTTAATGTGTAACCCAGTAAAAGTATTTGTAATTGTAGTAACATCAGTGTTCTACTTTCTTTGATGTTCACCTATCAAGTATTATATTGTAATCTCGTTGAAACAAAGATTTCTATTTCTACAGTATTACATGCTCCAGTCTTGGGAATATACAGTATGTGTCTCAATAGATAATTGGAAAGACTAAAAGAAAAGAGATAAAGTAGATATTGAAAGATTTGTCTATATCAGTAGATTACTTCTGCCTGTCATTAGGATTTTAGTAAATCAATTTGAATGGAAAAGATGCCTATATCCCCCAAAGCAACTGTTTTATTAATATGATACATCATTTTCCATAAGCATGTTTCTATAATTTTATCACAAACTCCCTGATAAATGAGATGGTCTTGATTAGATTTTCTTGTTTGTTCCACAAAGGATTGATGCAATTCTGTTACGTCTCCTTGAATTCCTGTTCCTAGCATTGCTCCATCTTGCAGTTTTCCATGCATGCCTTCCTTTATTCTTCACCAGAGCCTTTGTCAATCTCAGTCTCTGTCAATCTCTGTTTTCCAAATTACTACCAAATGCTCAACTTATATCTAAAAAAACAAATTATGAACATTAAACAAATGCATACAGGGTTCCTTACCTTTCATCCTTGTCATCTCTCTTGGTGGCAATTATATATATGATATTTGTGTTAATGCAGCTTGGAGATTCAGCCCTTGAAGTCACTTTATGGCATTGCTATACTGCATTCTGGGAAAAGAAGGTTCCACATATCTTCTGTGAAAAACCTGTAGCAATTAAATCAAATTGATGGTTCCTCTTCTCCTTTCCTCCAGTCACTTCCTTGATTGCACACTTGAACAACTTACCACGTAGATCAGATGGAGTGTGTCAATCAGACACTACATACTATCAATATGTCCAGTTTAGATTATAGTTCTTATCACATTGGATCTATTAACTGTAAGTTGTCCTAAAAAGGTTATAAGTGCAGGGTATAGGTTAACTAAAACTTAGGAGACAGCCCTGACCATTTCCCCCCCTTCCAGTTCTGTATGGCAGGGCAATCTGGCTAAGATTTATTTGGCGACATTAATTGTGTGTCTATGCTACCTTAATTAAAATATTATATTTCAGTACTTTAATTATTATTAGTTGGTCCTTGTTTTAGTGCAGAATATATACAGGATAATTCTGTTAATTAAAATATATTTCATATTCACCGAGGTTCCACATTCTAGAATATGGAAAAGTCCTCATAAAGTATAGAGATATATTGAGTGATATTGTGATTGTTCAGTCCGGAATGTATTCCTAAATTAATATTTGTCTTTCTTTTCCTTTTCTCTTTTTCCTAATAACAGCATGTATTGTATTCCTTTTTCCATTAAATGACCTTACCTCACAGTTGTCTTGACTGGCTTCTGTTTACAGAAATTGTAAACCAGTTGAATGCTCTGAGCAGCTTAGATGAAGATCAAGATGACTACATAAAGCATACAAATATGCTGTCCACTAAATCAGCCAGTTCTTCTGAAGGTCTATGAGCTTTCCTCCTTTTCTGTTTCTGGCATGTCTGCATTTTACTGTGACCTCCTTAGTATCTGTTCATATTCAAGTGTTGGTTGTAGCTTTGTGCTTGGTGTCCATTAAAGTCTATTGTAGTTCAGTCAAGTGTATGCAACAACATATGGTGCGTGCATCGGCCAAGGTGAGGAAACTATGGCCCTCAGATATTGTTGGATTTATATTTCCATCAGCCCCTGCAGCATGGTCATTGATCAGAAAAGATTGCAATTATAGTCAGACCTTCCATTTACTAAACCTAGCTCAGAACTGCCATTATTTGTTTTTGGAGGTGTTGCATTCTTTTTCTGAGATAATGTGTATGCTGCATGTGGGCCTTCCAGCTTAGTAATGGAAACATTACTACCTTTATATATTGATTTTCTTTAAGTTAGTTTAGGTTAGCATTTTTTCTTTCTGAAAACTATTGCTAGAGCCTTCTAGGTCAGTTAACAATCATATAATAAACTTGCACTTGCTTCTGTTCATGTTACTAAGCTGGAAACTTTGGTGTACTATGAATATAACAGTTTAGTTTAGCAGTAGAAACCGTGTCATGATTCACTGTTAAAAGGGATACGTAGTACTTAAGTATTTGGAAAGTGATTGTTTAAACATTCTATGTTTAATCATAAATGAAAGTATAAAATGTGTACTGAAAGGTATTTTGTTTGGTTTCTTAGAACTTATCAACAAGCTTAGTTTCCTGGATGAAGAGGAGCAAGATTTGGCAAATTCAAGATCAAATCCCTTTGTAGATTCTGATAGATCAGAGCTGAATCCTTTTGGAGACACTGATATCGAAGGTATTTAATTTTGCCATATACAATCTTTGGATTGTGCTATACTTTATGGCAAGATCACAAACTATGTGTACTTCCTACTTCTCATTTTCTAAAAGTTTCTTTGATGTTACTTATGTGCTGATAATTTTCAACTTAAATATTCAACCACTGCTTGCTTAAGGTGTAGCTTAATGATAGAATTCTTCAATCTGAAGTAGCCTTTTAGGTCACTGCTTGATCAAATCATTCTTCTTCTCCTAGACATGCCTGGACAATTTAATAAAACCTTATATAATATTTTAAGTCCTGGGAATAATAATCAGTACTTTAAAGTTATTTATGTTTGATTTAACTCTATTTTAAGTGTGTACTAAAAGTTGCTCTTTAGTAAACAAGATTCATAAATATATGAACAATTATATAGTTTATCTATACAAATATACATTCATAGTAAAGCAACTAGATTAGGAACCTGCACCAGAAGAACTGCCCCCCACAAAAAGATGGCATGCATACACGGGGTCCCTAGTGCGAGTCTTATTCTACCATGGAACATCCTCATCTGTGTTTATTGTTTGTTTATTTTCTGGACATTGGATGTTTCTGACAGTAGATATAGTTACTGGTATCTGCATGAGTTACAATGGCTGGAGAGGATCGTCTGAAGTGCTGTGTGTTATTAAACTTACTGGCTCATAAACTGTGAGGCTGACGGTTAGGGAAGGTTCTTTTAGCTAATGCTTCTAAGCTAACTTTGTTACTCTGTAGTACTTAAGGGAGGCTTAACTACTCTAAACAGCAGCAGTGTTTCCCTTTTAGCTGTGTCTTGGATTAGTAATACATCCCAGTGTTCTGCTGTATGTACATTTGACAGAAGGATTTAGATTAATTAGTTAATGTTTGTAAAGAATTTTGAAGATTAAAAGAACAATATAAGTGCTAAATGTTACAAGAGGCTGATTGTTTAAATATGCAGTTTCTTTTTGAACACCCTTCTCTTTGCTGCTTCCCATTCTTTTTTTGTTTTCATATTTTGTTTTGTTTAAAAAAATCTGCATCACTTTTCGGTATTCAGTTCATGTCTTTGATAATTTGTTTAATCTGGAGGTTCTCTTTTCTTTCAGATGCTTTTTGAAATAATAACTATTGCATGTCTAGCACTCAGACTTCTATAATTAATCAATTGATTACTTCATTTTTGTATAAATGATTCTTGTGTTCTTCCTTTAAGCCGTACTTGTCATAAATATTATGAATTGAGTATCAAGATTTCATCTTTAGAATTCCACATATTCTTTATTAATGGAGCTTGATATTCTGAAATATGCCTCTAGAATTGGTTCTGTTTTAAATTGATGTTCTAGAATCTATCTCTGTTACTGAATGTATTTGAATTTCATATGCCTGACAACTCAGGGGCAGGACTAGATATGCAGCCATAGAGGCAGATTAAATATAAAGATGAAATGAATGGATTGTATGTAAGTTGAATTTGTATGATCCTAAGCCGGTTTTTGAAGTAGCTTATCGGTACATTTCTTTAGTTAATTGTTTCAGAACATATATCAAATCTGAATGATTTCTGAGTCACCTGGCTGGAGCAGTATGTTGCATTTTTTCTATTTGGGAGAGCAAAAAATAAGGGAGGTTATGAAGCAGATACATAACAAAATTATAATATACGACTAATCTGTTTTTGGTTTAATGGATCACAGTTGGCCAGGACTTCTACTTGAATTATTTCACTTTCAACAGTTGAACAACAAGTAAAGCCGAATTATTTGTAACAAAGACAATTTCCTTTTTGTATATGACTAATTCTTTGCTCTGGCCAGTACTGAATAACAATGTTAAGCTAGCATTTTTGTACCATACTAGAAGCAAAACCTTTTTCCCTTTTTCATTTATTTATTGTTTAAAATGCATGCACAAAAGATGGAAATGGGAACATGGCAATCTGCCTTTTGGAAAAGTTATTTTTTGGTAGAACGTGTAACTGTTTCAGATTAGGCCTGGGCAGTTATTATGACTATTATAGATTGCATAGGTGATCCTGTGGAAATCAGGATTCTCTCAATATTGATAAAATTTCTGAGTTGTTTTTTTTTTTTAACTTGCCTAGTCATCAAAGAATTGTCTGGCTATTTTTTTCCCTTTTGGTTTGTATGATTTACAACACACTTTAAAGGTACTCCTCTTATTTTATTAATATTAATTTGGGATGGGAACTGTTTTGTATTCTACTAGAGTTCTGAAGGAATTGAAGAGTTCCTTCTCCATTAAGACACAACCTCTTGATTGTGCTCTCTGTAGAACCAGATATTAAGATGACTTCATTATCCAAACAAGAGAACTACTGTGATGACAGCGATGAATATAACCCCTTTAAGGAAAAGAGTGTACAATATGTGAACCCTTTTGATGAACCAGACCCTGAACCTGAGGTCCTGTTACCTGTCAAAGACTCTCCTCCTCAACCTAGCAAAAGGAAAAATATCCGACCTGTGGATATGAGCAAATATCTTTATGCTGACACATCAAGAACAGATGAAGAGGAGTTAGATGAGTAAGTGGATCACTTTTTTCCTTTGCATTAGTTGGGATTTCAGCACCAAACCTCCAGGCATAAAATATTAAAGTACAAGAATAAACTGTTCCGTTAACAGAAATTGAAAACATTAAACATTGGGGCATGCGTGTTACTGGGTTTTTTTCCCCTGTGAGGATTTAAATCATCAAAGAAGAATCTCTGAAGGGAGGCGTAGATACAGATGTTCAGGATGAAAAGCATGCATGCTCAATTCAGGCGTGGCATTGGCTGCTGCAGCACTTCAGTTGGCTAGTGGCCAGCTTTGAACTATCCATATACAGTATGTAAGGACATTTGAGGATAATGGATGACCTAGCCTTTAGAACTTCAGTACTATCTCTTTTTTTACTCAATGTTCATTCAATAAATTTAAGCAGTTCTATATAGAGTTCAAGACCTCCCCCCTTCTCAAAGTATCGTATTAGATGTATTATACAAAGTACATTTCTTGATCAGTTTTAGTAATAGTATAGTAGTACAATTGCCCTAATATTTGAAGAAGATGAAACTAATTGTGTTTTCTCTGTTATAAATACAAATAGTGGTCCCAGGTCTTTCCTATTTCCCCTCCCCACTTTTTTTTTTTTTTGTCCTGGAAGGTATCTGTAGATTTTTCTAAGTTGTTTTGTTGGCTTGTTGCTTTGAAAAATGATTGTAACTTGGCCAAGTCTGAGAGTTGGTTTTGTGTACAAATCAGATGAGACTAAGTCAGATCTTGATGGACCTAGCTATGCAGTTTCCTTAACTGCAGTACCAAAGTAGTTTACTGTTGCCTTCTTCTGGGAAGTTTTTTTTTTTTTAAATCCCCAGCCTAATATTAGTATTCAGCAGGCCTTACTTAGTTTAGATTCTGAGGCCAGACAACGCCTGTTGAGGTATAGCAAGGTTTATTGTTCTATTTCCTAAATTTGACTAAGTACGTATTATGGATCATGATCCCTAGATCCCTATCATCTTAGCCATCATGTGTGCGGTTCCTGGCAAATTAGAAAAGCAAATATAATAAACACATGGAAGAGGGGGGTGGAAACAAGAGAGTAAAATAAAAAAAATAACGTAAAAGTACAAGTAAAGTTCTTTTTTAATTTATTCTCATCCAGAAAGAAATCTGTAGCACTGAATTCATAGCAGGGTATTTAAGGTATAATGAATGTTTTCTATCCAAATACCAACCAATGTATATATTCAGTTGCAACTGTAGCTTCCTTCCCTTTTTGTAGCATAACAGACTGTTAACTTTCAAGACAATCAAAATGTGAAGACCAAACACACACCATCTTTTCAGTGACAATTATGGCACCATTCCTTCTGGATTCTAGGCACATGTTTACATGCGCATTAAAGGTCCTATGAAGAAGCTTATTTCCTTTTTTCACTGAATTTCAGTTTATTTATCAAGCAATCCTTTTGCTTCTACTGTGATGTTAGGCTATTTATATCCCTGCATCATCAACACAATGTCTCGTAATCAGACTTTCATCAGCAGTACCCGTTGGTGTACTACAAAAAATATAGAACTGAGAAACAGAAAACATCAATTCAAGCTGTAGATGAATCTCAATCCCCCATTTTGTACGCATGTCACTATTTTTGTGTTCAATCATAATGTCTTCTGTAACATTTTGTGTTTTTAAAAAGACATTTCAAGAACTTATTTTCTACAATATTCTCTTTTCCTCAATATGTGCAACTAGTATGCAAATTTATAAATTTACGTATTCATAAAATTTGGTTTTTTAAAAAAAATAAATGCAACGTTTTACTTGAATAACCACACTTGGAAGTGTGCAGTTAGAAAACTAACTGCATTCCAATCTCAGAAGTATGAATTAGGTCAGTGTCCTTAAAATATGGACTAAATGAAATTCATTGACATCTTTAGTGATAGAGGAAAAGCCGCTTAATTTCTGCATACCTCAACAGGAATGGTAATGAAAGAGAGGTACTAAACAGGACTATCTGATAAAGCAGGCAGCATTTTAAAATAAATTAATAAAGGCGGCCTCCTACTGCTTGCCTGAAATCCCATCCAGATACATTTGAATCATATGGGTGGCAGAAGAAGCCTTAATTCAGTGGAATGGCTCAGATTTCATGTAGAGGAGATCATAAGGTCAGATTCTGAATGTGATTTTCTCTTGGAAAAATCTGGAAAGGCTTGAGCCAGTTGGATAGAATACTACCTGGATTATAAAGATCTTCTGAAGCTTCTAATCCTTGGCTTTCTAATGATACTCCCTACCATGACCCAGCTGCTCTTCCTTAGCAATGCAGAAGATTATCTGCCTTTCCTTAACAGATAACTGTTGTTCTAGATCAGGGGTCCTCAAACTACAGCCCGCAGGCCGCATGCAGCCCACCCTGTCTTTTTATCCAGCCCACCTCAACCTACCGGGCCAGCCGTCCAATGGTGAGGAGAGGGTGCGTGGTATGGCGGTGAGAGCCCCAGCCAATGGCAGGATGGCGAGTTGGTGGGAGGAGATGTTTTTTCCCAGTTTCTCCCTCTTGCGCCCAAATGCATGCTCATGCTTCGGTCACACCCCCTTCTCCTCCTCTCGCCTCTTCACGTTTTTACCTCAGGGCCGGACTGAGAGGTTTAGGCTTCGCAGCCTCAGCCTCGCTTAGGGTAGCCAAGCCGGGCGATGACGACTCTGCTTTTTCTTCTGAGGCGGGTCTCTCGCTACGCTACAGAATGTGAGCCCCAGCCTCCACTGCTGCCGCTGCCGCCATGCCAAGAGGAAACTGGTGCCACCGGCCCTCAACATCACCCCCACCATCGCAAAGGGACCCATCCCCACCGCTGGCGGCGAGGGTGACGACTCCGAGTGGGCTTGACCCCCATGAGGGTTGGAGTGGGGCTGCTGGAGTGGGGTGCTGGTTTTGGGTCTGAGGAGAGCGGGTAAAGGGCGAGCTATTTGTGAAGAGCAGCCAGGGTAAGTGAGAAAAAAGGAGGAGAATTTGCTCCTGGAAGATTATTTCGGGGTTGCAAGGGGTTGTGTGGAGCTGAGGCGATGAAAGGTCTGGAATGCCAATCAAGGAGAATATTTCTGGCTCAGGTTAAAATGAAGGGTCCTGAGGATGGTGGTTTTCTTGCAGACGTTTCAGGACCCAAAGTGGGATAATAAGTGAACTGATGATGTTACCTAGTTTGGGTCATGAAATGTCTGCAAGAAAGCCACCAAGCTCAGAGAGCACCAAGGACTCCACAGCCGTCCTTCTTCTCCTCCATTCCACAAACCCCGCTCTCTTCTGGCATTGCTGATGTTACCTAGTTTGGGTCATGAGACATCTGCAAGAAACGTTGAATGGAAATAGCACCTTGCCTTTTTGACAGATGTAACAGAGCTACTCAACAGTTTCAATGTGCATCTTCAAGGAAAGAGGAAGCTCATCTGTGATATGCATTTGCATGTGAAAGCATTTGAAGTAAAATTGAACATACTCATTAAACAAGTGAGGGAGGAAAACTTCTGCCATCTTCCCCCAACTCAAAAACTATTTGTGGAAAAACCAGCAGTTGCATTCCCAAACAAAACATGTGTGGATTCACTGGAAATGTATATTTTCTTCACTTAAAAACTCATTCAAATAATTAACCAATTCATTTTTCTTGTTTCATTTTTTCTTTTATACTTGATTTTACATTGTTCTATAATCATTAATTTTTTTCAAACTAAAAGCGCCACCCCCAACAGTCTGAGGGACAATGAACTGGCCCCCTGTTTAAAAAGTTTAAGGATCCCTGTTCTAGATTGTGAGTAGACAAAGGAGGAGGATCACAAATCCCAAAGTATGATAGGAAAAATGTTACTAGTTTTGTTTCCTTTGCAATAAAAACATACTTGGATTGTACCAGGAAGTTTCAGAAGGAAAAGCTATAA